TCATAACCCAGCAGCGGAACGAAAGTAAAACAGTGAAGAGAGTGCGAAGAACAATTAACGAATGAGAACTGAGGTAGGCAACGAGAATCAATCACATAGTCGAAACATAATTCACAGCAGACAAGCATAAGTAAATTGAGTGAAGAGATGACCGATGATGGTCGATGGAAACAGAGGATTTGGTAGACCAGTTCGCCCTTCTACAAAAGGACTATGTCTGGTTGGAGGGACTTGTGATTGAACACAGAAGATAAATTTCTTCGCCCTATTCTCCTCGACTTTTGATTCGTCAATCAGTGTCGATCACTCGTGGTAGATGATTGAAGCGATCTCCGAACCTTTACAGACTTTGTCTTCATGAACCATAATTACTCTTGGTCACTTAAAGGTTTGGCACTTAATCGTCTAGAGAGTTGGCAGCTCTCAAGAGTAATAGATGGAGCGCACTGGACTTGGATTCTAGTGATGCTAAACCACTATCTAATTTTTTTGGCTATGTTTTTTCTCTCTCGATGGGTTTCAAACTTAAATCACTGGGGAGAGAGGGATGCTCATGCAATCTTCTCATAATCACATAGAGCAACCAACGGTGACATGTTGGATAGGGTGGGGTATTTATAGCAGAGGTCCTCCCGGGGCAAAGACCATATTGGACATGACCACTCAGCCAATGTCCAACTGACACGTATCTAATGGTCGATTTTTAGCACAACGGTAACATTACTTGCGGAGCACGTAATGCTAACTCCTCGACCCGAATCAAAACCTCACAGTGAAGAAGAACTACATCTCTTGCCGGCAAGTATTTATTAGGAACACAAAGAGCTTTCTCTCAACTCACACATGATTTGGGTTTAGCATCCGAGAACTGTAAGCTTCGAACACTATACCCCTCTTAATAGTACGGTGGTCCTATGACTCAAGAAAAAGAAAGAAGAACAATGAAACAAATGCTACATCTTCTCTTTGTCTTCAAACTTCTCGCTGTAGTCAATTTCTTTGGACAATCACCAAACCAATTGCTTTGCGTCAACAATTTTGGGGAATCACTTTCGTCAGACATAATCTTTGGTGATAATCTCTGCTACCTCGCAGGAGATTATCTTCGAAGTTTGTTCCAAACTCCACATGACTTCAGGGACCTGTCACTCTGTGTGCACTAGCAAACACATTAGTCCCACACTATTTATGACAACAATCTCCAAAAGACAAGGAGGCCAATCATTGCACCAACATTTTCAAATTGTCATGCCCATAAATCTACCATTGGAGTTGTGCAAAGGGGAATGTTCTCTATCGCCTAAGCATGGAGGGGAGAACATGTTGCCGTAACTTATCATCTCTCCACACAGAAGTGCGGTCAATCATGTCACTAACAAAGATATGAGGATCACTAGCTAGGCAAACAACTGGTCTAATCGATGCGTCTCTCGGGATCCCATTTTCCGTTCATACCCTCGTAGTTGTGCCGTCACCGATGCTCCTAATGAGGCCATGTGAGAGTACATCTCTACCCTCCAAGATAGACCTCCCACACTTGAGATGGGTGAGACCCTAGTCCAGCATTGAGAATGTCAATGTTTGAATATTAGACTGCCTTGAGCAACCAGGCACAAAGAGATTCAAGCATGGCGAGAAGGCACCATGATTGCCGAGCCAACAAAGCTAAGTTGAAGAGATCGAGGTCCCTAAACCCCAAGCCGCCACACTTCTTTAGTTGAGTCATAGATCTCCAAGAAACCCAATGTGGTCTTCGCCGCCCCTCTCTGCTTCCCTAAAAGAAATTACGGATAAGCTTGTTCAATTTTTCAAATAGACCCCTTGGCAACTTAATGCGTGACATCGAGAAAACTGGAATGGCATGCGCTACCAATTTAATTAGAATTTCTTTGGCCGATGTTGAGATCGTGTTCTCAATCCATCCATTCACCTTTGACCATCATATGTCTGTTAGGTACTTAAAATCACCCATCTTAGAGGAACCAATGCTAGATGGCATACCCAAATATTTCTCATTCAAAGTCTCTAGTGTGGACGTTGAGCACCCCTTCCACTTCCTGTCTGACGTTACCTATTGTTCATTTGCTGAAATAAGTTGAAGACTTGTTGGTAACTTGGTATTGATCTTTGCCCTGAAGCTTGGCAATAGGAGTCCAGTAGGTTTGACACTTCCATCACCCCTGAACTATTTTCCTTGAAGAATTGCAGGCTATCGTCAACAACTAACAAGTGGTTAACTCGTGGTGCTGAAGGAGCCACTTGAATCCCACTCAACTGCAATGACTGATCTCTTTTGAGGAGGCCAAAAAGGCCCTCAGCTGCTAACAGGAAAAGGTAGGGTGATATTGGGTCTTCCATGCCGAATACCTCTTGAAGGTTTGAAATCATAAAGTTTTTTTCCATTGAAAAGAACTGAGTATGAGACAGATTTTACCATGCTCATGACAACTGAAACCCATCTCTGAGAAAAACCAAGCTTGAGCATCACAACCTGGACGTATGTCCACTCCACTCTATCATATGCCTTCGTGTCCAATTTCAGAGCGTAGTGATGGTGCTTGAGAGCTTTATTTCGTTTCA